ACAACGGCAGTCAAAATCTTTTATATGACTAGCAATTGCACATTGCATTACCCAATATAAATCACAGCTCCAAACGAATATTGCACTTTTCAATATACTCATAGATATGCTATGAACTCTGCAAAGAAGACAGGACAATAGGAGCAGTCTGCTTACTAAACACTAAAAGATAAAGTAGCTTGCCGCATTCAAACTTGGCTTTGAATTCAATTTAGAGCGCCGTCACCCGCATTGTGAATAGGGAAAATGGCAATAAAATCGAATCGACGCACATTCATTCGTTTAAATGAAATTTTATTACATCTAAAGGGACAAGGACATCAGTGAAACCGATTTTTGGTTAAGAGAAAGGGTCTTCTAACCATTGTTCAAATGTGTTTGAACATACAAAGCTATGTACGTGCATATGTTCGTGGCTTCCAATGCAGAGGTTTTCAAAAAGTAAGTACATGTTCGGTAAGTGCATCTGAAAGTGTAGGATTGACTTTGTGATTTAGTTTGCTTGTTCGTTTGTTTGTCATATTCAGGCAAATCGACAAATCGACGAGTGAAATGAAAATCCCTTCGGCATTAGACACATTAAACTAATATACTATTTGAATAGAGAAATGTGAAACGATTTCATTGTTTCAGCGCGGAAGATGAGGCTGCTGGTTGCCGGCTGACAGCGGATATGGATGTCGATCTATTGGCAAGTGCTTTGTGAAGAAGAAGAATTATTTCACGAAATTGGGCTTACTCCAATGTGGATGCAGTACATAGTTACTATCGAGCACGTGTGTAGAAATGTATGCTTCTGCAATTGCCGCTTGTCACACACACGTTCACACAACCCCACCGATAGGTGTATCTCGATCCTCTTGTGCCGCAGCTACTGCTGCTTCCCCTGTTACTTTAGAACAATGGCGAAAGCGTTGAATGGATGGGATCGATATACGGCATACAGTTATCGTATCAGCCGCTCAGAGTGGAATATATGTGAAGAACAACAACAACAATAACACAAACTATACAAACTGACTGGTTGTCTGTCGGTTCGCTGGAAATCGGCTCATCTACCTCCCTGTTGGTTCGCTTAGCCGCACCGACGTTCACAATTCACAAAATCCCTATTGATTTATCGCGCTAATATAATGGGAAAAGAAAACGTAATAGATACTCGCCGCTATCTAGCATGTACATACATATACATGCACAGCAGCACACATGCCTATGAAAAAAGTGCCGCCAAAGCGATTGCCATGTATTACAACCTACGACCTCATCCATCTGAACTTACAATTCCTCCCATGCCGCCATGCTAAATAGCAACCGGCTGCCATCGCCTCCTTCTGTATACATACATATGTATGTAAGCAGAAACATACTCTTACATACATACCTTGCAGTCGTATTCGTGCTTCGCTTTTTCCCAACGCATTGACGCTGGAACAAGTATAGGCGCCAAAATCGGCCTTTGTCAGATGACGTATTGTCAGGTTGAGATGCCACGTGTACAAGTTAATCATGGCCTCCGATATGTTGTACTTGTTGCTACTGTGCAGCTTTAAGTTACCTATCCGGAGACATCCACATTAATTCATGTTGGAGGTGATGGTATGGGTCACAAAAATAGGGAAGAAAAAGGAAGACATCGAATTACAAGAGAAATGACAGGCAATTACGTCAATTACGACGTCAACTTTAGTACTATTTACTGTTACCGCTGCTTTTCTATGTTACAAACAAGCGAATAGTATTTAAGTGCAGATACATTACCTTCATTGCGATACCAGCCATTGAGCGGCTTCGGATAAACTTCCACAATGCATTCGAGTGTGACTTCACGTTCAACGGGTGCGCCTAGCAATTGATTGACAGCCTTAATTGTCGGTGGAACTGTGAAGAAAGCAAAAAAAAATAATAAAAACAAAGAAGCTGTTAGTAGAAGCAACATTTAAAGAGCGATTTAGGCCTGTTTTCTCAAGTAACCTGTAACTTTAAAGCTCACTTTAGATTTAAAGGTTGCGTTAAAGTTTGTGATTGTGTCTAAAGTAAAGTATTTTATTATTAGGCATAGCTTTATTTTTAATTCAACCTCTAAATGTAAAGTGAGCTTTAAATTTTCAGAAAACGGCCCTTAGAAAACTAAGCTGAGAATATTTAATTTTCAAAACGAATATCAGACTGATAACAAAGCTAATCAAGCGCCAATAATACATAGCTACATATGTAGTATGTGCTGAGAGTTTTATCTGGAAATATATCGGCAAACAAATCAACAACAATTTTGCTGCAATAAAACAAAACCTGCCATGCGACCGAAATCTCCCCTCTCTACGATGATTCTAAGAGGTGCCGCAAACATGGTTTATTTTTACGAAAGAAATAACACATAAAAAAACGGTTGTAGTATAATTTTCAAGGATCAATCAATCAGGAATCACATTCGAAACTATAAGAACACATTGATTACATGCCATTAAGGTGTCATGCTAGCTCAGATTTTTTAAATTCCTAAATTATCCCTTTTAAAGGACTTTATTTCGCTTGCCCACTTTGGGTCGAATCTTGTAATTACGAAAAAAGGTTCTTACAATTTCGGGCGTTTTCATTGATCCTAGCAAATTATATTAACTTCAAAAGAGAAGAAACAATTTTTTTACCTGTTGTTCCTTTGGGATTGATGCGGCATCTCTCAGGTCGCATTGCAGATTTTGCTTTATTGCTGCAACATAGTTTTTGATATCTTTGTCGATATATTTCCAGATAAAACTCTCAACATATACTAGATAATTGAGCTGTGAAGTCTATACGGTGACTATGTTTTTCTAAATCCATTTATTTTTCGTTATCTTGCTATTATAAATTGGTTTATTTTACCGGCTCAAATTCGTACGTAAACAGTCAAAAAGCGATTTCAGAAATTTTCCCTGCACTTCGCCTTTCGGAAATAAAAAAATGTCCTTCGAAAGACAGTTTACATTCAAGGTGTCACACACAAATTTTCATTTACAATCTCAAACAACAACAATATTGAAGAAATTAATTTTTTCATTTTCAGTTTTATATGGTTTTAAAATGCTGGCAAACTTAAAAACAAAAAATCATGGCCGACGAATTGAGAGAAGGGTTCTTAATATGTTTTTATCTTGGTCTAATCATTTTACTAGAGCTCAGAATCTTATGTTAAAAAATAATTCTAAAAATATGTACCATAATAACTATGAGCAAAGTATTTATCAATTTATACACAGTCAGCGTCAAATACATATATGAATACCCTGGTGTTTTGGCGATTTTATTTGTTTATATTTTCCATAAAAAATTTTAATTACTTCTTTATTAACCGACTTCACAAAAAGGAAAGCTTATCAATTCGTCGGAATGTTATATTATTATTTTTTTGTTATGTATGTTACCGCATAACTTTGGCCCCGTTAACCGATTTTTATAATTTTAAGGGAAAGGTGTTACTTCATAGGTGGTCGCATACTAATTTGGTTTAAATCCGATCATTATTGAAGTCGGTCTTTTTTTGCTTAAAAATTACTTGTAAAAATATACATATTTCTTTCAAGAGCAAAAACACATTATCAATTTTTTAGTTTCTTACAGGACTCGGAAATACCAAAAAATTTTCATCAAAATTTTATATCTTTTATTCACTATAAATTTTAGTATAATAAATTGCAAGTTTAAAGTCGCTAAAAATTACCATTAATTTTTGAGAATTTTTTTGTATGGGTGTTGCACATTTTCTTATATATATAAAAATTGATTTTGTTCGTGCATTATATGCAGTCCTGGGTAGAGTTGAAAATTTTAATATTGTTCTGAACTTTTTTTTTGGTATTTCTTACATTTCCCCGAGTTATGTACGAAATAAAAAAATTGATTCTAAATGATAAATAAATAATATCGTCAGGGTATTCATATTTTTACGCTGACTGTATTTTGTTTATTGTAGTTATGATGGAACATATTTTTAGGCATATTTTTTTTGCATACAAATGCGACCTCTAATTATTACTATACCAAATACCAAAATTTGAGTTAGTTTCCGGTCACATTGCAAGATTTTTCGTTTTAATTGGTCTAATGTATAAATTATATTTTGTATTGCAATAGTAAATTCATCTACGTATGTATAACCTTTTATATAACCTTATTATACAAAACAATGTATTCTTTAGTTCTATATAAATAAATAATAATTGTTTTTTGTTGTGCTATGATAATTGACTAAATTGAGCAATCGCTGTAGTTTTGTGACCGCTATATCAGTCAGGTCTGAAGGTTCCAGCATACATGAACCTGGTATTCACAAAATTACCTCCTTGTTTCTACGGCTCCTGCAGAAGTCATTTAAAAGCACGCTGAGTAATATGAACGGTCAGCAGATCCATATTCAAGGAAATTTACTCTCTGTACAGCATAAGGAGCTCCCTTGATCTTTTCGAAGTTTCAGGCTCTGTTCTTATATGCATGAATGCAAAGCAAAGCATCATCTGTTATTTCAAAATAATGACTCATATCCATATCCATTATGCTCAACCATAACGTATTACATTCCAGAGTAAAGCTGTTCAGTAATTTATCAACTTTGTTATAAAGGCCACCTGAACTCACTTCATGCCATATAGAGTGTTGTTTTTGTACGATGAGAAAAGGTTTTACGTCTCAAGTGCCTGCTCGGTCTGGAGTGTTACTGAGAGATTCTACATTGAATTGTTGGTGTTAATGTTGGTTCATAAAAAAGGAAGTCCTGCACTTTTTCGAAGTTATTGATATCAACAATGACATGCCTATTTGTTTAATGATACGAGATACTTTGTTTTGTGCTCGTTCGCCACCAGACCCATTCGTCTTGCTTCCATATCCAACTTGGAAAAGGAAACCTAATACAAAATCGTTTAAGCGGGTGATACTATACCAGTTTCATATAAAACGGATTTAAGTCGATAAATATAAAAACTTTAAGGATATATTTTAAAAAGGGTTAATACTTAGAATGCACAACAAATGACAGTTGATTTTTCCTTTGTTTGCTTATTCGCACTCGTGAAGGTTGATACTGAGACCTGCTTATTTTTGTACCAAAATTGACTTTGTATGTCACTGTTATTAAATGTCTCCAGCATTGATGTCAGATGATGACGGCCATTTTAGCATATTGTTACAAAATATACTCTAGTGACCACAATCATGTATACGTTTGTTTGTATATCGTTGTCATGAAATTTTCTCATCCACTCATTGCTGCTCAAATGTCAACTAAACCAGAGATCTGTGTGCGGTGCTTTTTTCTATGGCTGAATACTGCATTGACTCGAAACGCGTATTACTAAAAACGAAAAGCGGTGTATGAATCATCTCCACCCCCAAAATGTGTCGTGCGTGCAAACATGCCTTCGCTTACCGTTCAAATATGGCGTACAGTTTTTGGCAATCGAACAAATGCGGTGGTTGCGGGATTCGTTCATGATCATTTAGAATCCCTGTTTTCCGAAGTCATTCTGGGCAATTCGCTGAATCCATCGTAGTCCGATTTCCAAATGAAAATTATCGTTCATTTGTGGATATACTTTAAGTAACAAAAACACCACCGCATGCTGTTCTCTGATATGTACGCGTAGATATGTGCACTATGTACTTATATGCACATACATAAGTGTGTTTCTCCCTATTTTATGAACTCAACACGAACGAATACTTTTTCCTTATTATTTCGAATCTAAATAGCTTTCCATTTCCTCCTGTCACTGAGTGTGCTCTTGTTTACCCATTTTTATTAGGAGCGCTTTTGTGGCATCCATCTCTTCAGCGACGGCACATCTGACTTATCCTCTGCCTTCGAATTGCTGTTTTGCTTTCTACTTTTTATAGAGGATAATTCAATGCTATAAATAAGGCGGATTAAAGCGCTTAGTTGTGCTGCTAGTCTCTTACAATATCCTTCATTTGTGTGTATATGCGTCTGCCCTTCAAAGCGCTGCTAGGAATCGGTTTGTTAAAAAAAAAAAATCACTTTTACTATGGCAGCTTTGTCGAACATTTTTAATTCAACCCGATTAATTTATGTACGTATTGTAGACTTAAAAACGGTATTAGGAGCTATGATTTATATATGTTTGCATTTTGCGTAGAGATTATTTATTCATTTAGGTGTGTGGGTAAAAATAAAGGAAACAAATATTTTAAATTCAATTGCTTATAGGAGAACAGTTCTTAGATTAATGAAATAGTTTTCAGAAACTAATAACTGTGTCAGGGCGTTCTTCAACTAAATTCTGAAATATGCCGTTCTTGAAAAGTTTTCTGAAAGAGGAAAAATTTTGGAAGGTGTCTTCAACCCCGATCAATGAAAATTTTTTTCACAATCGTTCACAAAGTGGTTTTCCTTCAATATAAACAATGTTTTTCGAGAAAAAATTATTCTCTTAATATTTAATAAAAAAATTGTTCATGCTACAACCAAAATCTAATAACGAAATCAAAGTTTCAAACTGTATACAATTGTTAAATATTTTTCATAAAAATTGCATACATTTTCATCCGAATTTTTCGAGAATTCTTGGGTATGCATTTTACAAGCCCATACAATTTTAGTGCAAGTCTCATGCGGCTGAAAATTTTTTCTGGCAGATATTTTCACATTTTGCATGTAAACTTGAAACGCGTTAGACCTTACCAAAAAAATAAAAAGAAATCAAAGAAACGCGAGATTTTATACATTCCTCTTGCTTTATGGAATAACCTGTAAGAAACTGGTAACAAAAAGTTAATACAAAAAAAAATAAGCTGTTTCAAAAATTCACTTCATTACATACATTAAAATTGCATGGGCTCTTGAACAGCATATCGATAATTTTTTTTTTAATTTTGATGAACATTTT